TTTTTTTTTTCATTGGTTTAAAAATTGTTAATCTTAGTTTGATTATCTGTGAAAGTATACTAATTGTACATGTTATAAGTCAATTCACGTCTTGTATTCTCGATGAATATAGTTCAATTTTTGCAGGATTTCCGGCTGGTTCTGGAACATATTGCAACATTCCTGAAAACACGCTTCTCTTCAAACAGTGGTTACATGCAGTTGAATTTGATCGGGGTTGATAGTAACGGTGTCGTTTTGCAAGAAGCAAATTTCGGCGTTGATAGCATAGATGAGAAGTTCGCGAAATTGAAGCAAATAAAGTAATACCAGTCAAATTATTTAAACTAACAGTGCGATTTAAAATATATAAATTGTTAAAAATAGAGGAAAAAAGGTAAAAATAATTGTATCTTCAGTATTAACGGCTTTAAGAGCCGAATAAGGGGCATGAAGATAAATGCTGTAAATACAAAGTAGTGATTAAATCCGCGTTAGCTTTTGGATTCAATTTGCAACGTGAGGTGTAATATATATTGTTGCCAAAGATTCCCAAACCAGTAAGCAGTGCATGACCTTAAAAGAAATAGCAGTGAAATGGCATGTACAAAGCAGGACAAAGCTGATCATTCTTTAAGTTCGATCTTATTTGTTGCTCAGAAAGTGATACCTCTTTTTAAAGCGCCGTCATATTTTTGATTTCACCCCTGAGCCTCATAGTTGGCGTTTAAAACGGATATTAATTCACTACTGATTTAACATTAGAATGTTCTCCAAAAGAGTATTCGGCAACAGTGCTATGAAGCTTCAGATTTGGGTTTGGGTTTCTCGCATCTGTAACACACCAAGTTTCGAGTCAGCAGATTGGCTCAGTGCGACAGTGATTTACGACCTCTTTTATCATTTTGTGGACGACATTCGTCTATCCTTCTGTTGTGTGCGATCCTTTCCACATGATCGACCCATCCTTTCTTAACGCACCCTCTATAACCCAGGCTGGAACGCACCAGGCGAGCCGGTGCGATCATGTGTTTTTGCATCAGACTTGAAGTAATTAGGTTAACTGCATGAACGGTTGTTTCTTTACACTTACGTTTCGCGCTCAATACCGTAAATCATCTTAAATTTTGCATAAAAAGAAATAAACAATTTCCGTTTAGCGGTTTAACAATCTGACAATTTCCCGCCAAAAAAGTTTCATGGGGCCGTACGTGAGAACCGCGCATGCTGGGGACTGAATTTGATAAATTTTAAGTCGTACATGGGCTGGGAACATCCCTTGGAAATTTCAGCTTCCCAGTTTTGCTAGTTCCCGAGTTAGCCATTTTCCCGCCAAAAAATCTCACGAAGCCATACTTGAAAACCACGTACGATTAGGGGCTGAATTTGATAGATTTATGTTGTACTTATGCTAGGAACATTCCTTGAAAATTTCAGCCTCCCAGCTTTGCTAATCCCCGAGTTGACCATTTTCTCACCAAAAAATTTCGCGGGACGCGGGAACCACACACACCTGGAAGCTGAATTTGAAATCTTCGAGTTATATATGGACGGGGGACATAACCTCAGAATTTCAGCTTTCTATCTTTTCTCGTTTCCGAGTTGTCAATTTTCCCGCCAAAACTTTCACCCCCTCGTGCGCGGGGCCCGGACTTGCGTGAGGGTCAGTACCATGGTTTTTGGGTGGCACTTGGCTGGGGGACCTACTAGCAAAATCTTGGCGCTGGAACTTGCTTGGTTGCCGAGTTGAAATACCCGGACAGACGA